TTGCCATTTCACCGCTTTTTCCGAGAATTCTAACAAGGATCAAGTGCCAACCATCCCTAGAACTCTACTGTCACACAGATCATCCTCCAGTTATCTGCTTCATAATTACTGCATCTCTCTAACCTTACACACACTAGATGTCCTACTGTACCTACAGTTCTGTATCTGTACATATTTGATTCTCTGTCACCTTTTTTTCCTGGATGAATGTTGGAAGGATTTGGTTGCTTGCTCATGAGTAACAGCTCTTGCTTCCTTCAGTACAAACGGCAGAAAAACATCAAGCCCTGGAGCGTAATCTTGACTGATTCTGGTATCTGAAACATCTGCCTCTTCTACGTTAACACTGTTTAATACAGACTTTCCTCCCTCTGCTACCTGAGGCACGTTGGTGACTTATTTCTTTTCATCCATCTGATGAAATACTCCTTTAGCCCATCATCTATTTTCCTTTCATCACATGAAAGTTTGACATTGTCCTTACCCACACACTTTACCTCTTCCTTTGCTATTTTAATACTGAATCATTATTTTAGCCTCCAATTCAACATTCATTTCTATCTCCCTCTGTCTCTGTTTTTTAATAGTTTTTAAAGTGCTTCCCTTTTCCTCGTACAGTCGTTTTCTTCATTCATTGAACCATTTGGGATTCAACTTCCGAGCCTTGGATTTACTCGCTCCTGGGGTGAATCTGATTCATTGGTCACTGTATGTTTTCCACTCCTGGCTATTCACTTGCAAAAGAGCCTGAATTTTACATACATTTCCAAGATGAATAATATATTCCAATATATTCCCAGATGAAATAAGTAACTGGTGTGAACTCTCACTGCCCCCCAGTCCAGCACTCCACTCGGTGTCAGTCCTTGCTGCTCATGTGTTTAGCCCTTGTGGGCATTGATTTTACTCTGTTCTGCACAGGGACTGTACTTAGCACATGTGCCTGCCTCACTGTTTTGTCCTTTTTTGCGTTTTTCCTTCTATATTTTACTTGACTTGACTGGCTTCTTTTTTAATTTTTGTATTGACTTTATGTATTAGCGGATATTTCCTAAGTCAGGCTGGATAAGACCAGCTGGTAATCAAATAATCCTGTACTGTCGTCACTGCAAACAGTGAATGTCCTTCACAGAGCTAAGGGCTATTTGATGAATTAATACTTATTTCGCGGTGCCTAGGTAGGTGCTGCATTCAAAGTGCGCCATAATTCCATAGGGAGACAAATTCACCTATCAGAATCGAAGGTTAATATTTTCCTGTCTTTCTGTGTTCTCCCTCCCAAAGTATCTATTGTACAGTGTCTTGTATCCACAGCCTTCCAATTATGTCCTATTTTATTGCTTTTGATCTGTACACATTTTTTAAAGAGTCAATATTTTTCATCAAAACTTGAAGGCTCAAACTAAAACACTTTTATGGGTGAAATATCAGCAAACATTGCACAGGAAAATCAATAGAATATTTTGTTTGATATGGATTCACCTTGGGTGGCACGATAGCTCAGCGATTGGTGTTACTGCCACACAGCCCTGGGGCTCAGGGTTCTGTTCCTGGTGGTGCTATCTGTGTGGAGTTTGTATTCTCCCGTCTTCGTATGGGCTTCCTCTAGTACAAAGTACAAAGACATACTGGTAGGATAATTGGTGTCTGGAAAAATTGGCCCTGGTGTGAGTTTATGCATGATTGTGTCTTTGTGGCTGGTGTCCCCTTGAGGGTGTATCCTGCCTTGAGCCCGTTGAAGGACAGGAGAGACTCAGGCTCCCCTGTGACCCTAAATTGGATGAAGTGGTTAGAAAATGCGTAGATTCACATATGTATTAAGGACAGTACGTGTATTGACATCCCTGAATCTACTGTATGTGGTGGAACCACCTTTGGCAGCCCCTAAAGATGTAAGTCTATCTACTGTAAAACAGATGTCAGCAGATGTTGCCAGTGCACTGTTTTGGGGGCTCACACTGGTTTTTCACCTGGTCTTGCTCGGTCATAAGTGAAGGATATACAGAAAGGAGACCCCAATCCTCAGGAAAGGCTTTCAAAATTCCCCATGGGAGCATGACGGATGGTAATGTTCTTGCTGGGTTTCATCTTTACTGTATCTCATTACAAGTGAGATTCTGACCGTGACCTAAGAGTGACACAACTTCTCGCACACAGTTAGAAATGCGCAGTTGTACTTCACCCAGTAGACTATTCACACTCCTCCTGTGTCTCTCACACAAGAAGTGTAAGTCAGAGGCCGAAAGTGACCTATTTCAAACTGTGTAAATTAACCATGTTCTTGAGGGCTTCAGACACACTAGGACTGCTATAAGTCTATCAGAGTGGCCAAACGCAGTACAGATAAATTAAATCCAATCTGATATGATGCCAGGATGCCAGGCTGGCATGGGGACCCAGGGCTGCACTGCACTGTGGTGTGAGAGGTAAAGACGGAGCGTAGATTCACACTTTCATGCACTGCTGAGCGAGATCTGTTTGAGATAGGATTCTGGAATTGAAGAGTAACTGGTTCTGCGTGCTCAGTTCAAGAAAGTAGGGAATTAAACATTTCTACATTGATTTTTATTTCTGCAGTACTCTAAATTTAAGAGCTTATATCTTTTTTTGCAGCATAAATCGATGCTTATATTTATTTAAACAACCACACCACTCGAAGAAGGCTCCACAGCCGAAACGCTGAGTTTCCTTTCTTCTCTTTTCAGCATGGAATAAACCTTTAACTTGTTCCTTTGCACATCTTCCTGGGACATTTCTGGTGGAATTGTCTTCCAATTTCAAGTGTTTTAATTTTGTTTGTGAATTGTATAGTCCTTACCCAACACTTAGCCCTTTGCCTACTCTGAGAAACCAAAACCCTGTTTTCTCTGATCCATTGCGGTACAATCTTTCCTCTTTCCTTTCACCAGATCAAGGTGGATTTCTGCAGGCTAATGCAAAGAAGAGGGTGAGATGTTTTAGAGATCAAAAATATTTGCTCTGAGCGAATGTAAGAGCCTGCCATTTTAACCTGTCCGGATTCAGCTTTCTAAGCTCTGAAACGCTCTTTCAGTGTGTCAGTCAGACCGGGGAGTGTATGAGTCTGAAACAACTCCTGTGGAGACAGGAGATTAAAGAAGAGGCAGAGACAGAGAGATTGGAGGGAGAGCTGACCAGGCTTTATTGTTGTTGAGCAGAAAGTCAGGAACAGACAGAGGAGGTAAATGACAGCAGTCCTTGTCACTACAAGACAGAAAGAGACAAGCAGAGATGGAGAGATCCCTATCTGCTGCTGGCCCATATAGACTTTAATTATCTCCCTAATCCCATCACCGCATTGATTGCACAGGTGCACAGGCTGCTGGAATGCCAGAAAACAGCAAACACGGCTCGACAGAAAATAAGTGGTCCTGAGAAGAAAGGAAAACAAGCCCTGGCAGTGAGGAGAAGTATTCAGCTACACGCTCACATGAAAGAAAAAGCTCTTGTTCCTTACAGCTGTGCACAAGAGCCCTAACGTTACAGATCAGGAACAGAGGTCTTCTGGGGTCCGGACTGGGGTACGGTAGACAGTAGCAGTGTCGCTACTGGAACTGTGACAGCATGACGGGGCTGAATTGATGTATCTAGTGGAAAATGTGGGGGTGGGGTTCAGAGTATAATACAGAAGAAACGTAAAACCTTCCCAGAGTGTTTTTGCAGTATGTCACACAGGATCAGAACCCACGGTTAGAGTCTAGTGCTTGACAAATGTGCCAGTAGATTCTGCCCACCTAGAGGCACCTTCGATCTCGGAGCCTCTCTCACAGATGGCTTCTAGTCACGTTAGTCAGGGTTGACTGTCGCTCATCGGACTCAGTCAACCCAAGAAGCTTCCCTCTTGCTACAGGGTTGACTCTTGCTCACCAGACTCGCTCACCCCACGGATCTTCCCTCTTGCTACAGGCTTGACTGTGTCTCACTGACGATAAGGTCATTCTTAGTAGCTCAAACCTGCAAACCTGTTGATCCCTGTCCTGGGCCCTGTTTTCCCCCTCTGTGGTGACCTCTCACCGAGTGTTTCGTGGCTTCTACCCCTACATGAACCCAGACTACAATCACGTAGGAATAAAAAGCCATAGAACACAGCAGGAGACATGCTCCGAGGAAGAGGGGGATGGGCAGCGGATCTGTGAGGCCTCACTGGCCTATAGTGCTCAGCCATCACCTCACCTACCTGAGAGACAAGGGGAGAGAGAGAGAGAAGGACAGGGAGAGGAGGAGGAGTGAAAAAGCGGTTTGCAAGAGCCGGCTCTCTGCAGAAGCTGCCCTGAGAAGACATGACAGAGGTGCAGCTCGGAAATAGTTCCACCAGCTCAGGCTGGCTGTAGAGGTTTGTGCTCCGAAGCAAATGAAGTTCGTTTGTTTTTTTTTGGGGGTGGGGAAGTGACAAGAAAAACAAACGAAGTATGAAATCTGACAAGGGACAGCACAGACATGGAAAATTGATTTTTTTTTTCCTCCCTCTGGACTGAGCTTTGTGCAGCGTTTGAATCGGGCACGCCTGACATTTTGATTTTTGAGTTTCTGAATGAGTCCCAGCACTTTTAATGGTCTATGGAAGTAAATAAAGTACTAAGAACTGTGCGGTTTAAAATGCGAATCGAGTTCGGATCAAACACATTTGACTATAATCTGCAATGCTGAACGCTCATTCCTCTGAATCTTGGACGTTAATGCCTGAGAGATGAGATGATAAAAAAAAACCCCAAAAGAATTCATAAACTTGCTTCCCATCCAATTATTTTGACATTGCAGAGACAAATTTTGAGCCCATCTCATTCTGAGCGCCGGAATCAGTTCTTCTCTAATTCAGGAGGGGGCATCCTTGACAAAGGGAGGCAAATCATTCTGGTCTGTCACCGGGGATGATTTTTCCAGTTTCCATCAGGATATCTGAATGTCTTTCAGACTGGGAAGGGATGGAAGGGGGGGGACGAGGCGGGCGACGCTCAGGAGGGTCGGGAAGAGGGAGCGAGTACCTGCTGGAGCCACTTCTCCACCAGCCCCTGGGCCTCCGAGGGCACGATCCTGCTGGCCAGAGCCACCCGCTCGCCCCGCGCCGACTCCAGGAAGGACAGCAGGGCCGGGGGCGGGCCCGGCGGGGAGAAGCCCAGCCGCGCCACGCCCGGGAAGATCCTGCGCAGGTGGGGCTCGACGCGCCGGGGGTCCCGCGTCTCGGACAGGATCTCCAGCAGCTCCTCGTTGGACAGGAAGAAGAACCTGGGAGGAGCAGACGGGAGCGCGGGAGAGGGTCACGCCACGCGCTTCCTCTTGGGGTACCCTCACGTGGCCTCAGGCCCCAGTTTTGCCACACCCCCAAAAACGGATTTATCACCCGCAGCAGCTCCTCGTTGGACAGGAAGAAGAACCTGGGAGGAGCAGACGGGAGCGCGGGAGAGGGTCACGCCACGCGCTTCCTCTTGGGGTACCCTCACGTGGCCTCAGGCCCCAGTTTTGCCACACCCCAAAAACGGATTTATCACCCGCAGCAGCACCACGCCAGGCCATCAGCACAATCTGTAGCTGCCTGCCAGCGCTTTTTAAAAAACGTTTCACCGGCAAGCCTCGGAGCCTTGGGTATAACGGCTGGGAAATGTTTTAGCAAATAAAACGATGGTGTCAGAATTAAAAACAGGAGGCAATATACAGTAGAGTTCAACTGAGAGAAAAAAAATGAGTTAAGAACAAAATTAACTTGAATATGTAAGAAAGATAGCAATATGTCTATGTTACTGTATTGCAGTTGCTGTAATTATGATGGTGACGATGAAAGGTGTGGAACCTTGGAAAAAAGAGCCTCTTCCTCTCCAGATAGTCGCTCAGTCCTTTCTGAATTTCTTCGAGCATGTCCTGGGCCTGCCGCAGTCTGTCCAGCAGGGGGCGCTGGGAGAGAAGCTTCAGTACGTCGCCCTCCTGCTCTGAATCGTGCATCAGCTCTCTCCTGACAGGACACACAGAACAGAGCAGTCGGCCTGACTTCTTCTTCTCTCACACACACACACATATATTGCATTGAAAAACAGTCCTCTCCCGCAGTAGAGACAGAAACTGTAGAGCCCAAGAGGTTTGGACACTTACAGCTCCTGGAAGGTTACTAGTTTTTACTTTCCATTTGAGCCATGACTAATCAATCAGGTTGACTCTTTAATCCAAAGCAGTTTACATTTGCACCCATTTATACAGGTAAGTCATTTTAGTGGATAAGCTTCTTGCTCAAGGGTACCACAGCTGTGTCTCACCTTGAATTTGAACCCACAACCTCCCAGTTACAAGTACAGAACCCTAACCCATGCCCCACACCGCACTCTTAAGCAACTACTTTATTACCAGCAAAACAAAAAAAACAAAAACAAAAAAACAAAGCCTTTTTTTTAAACCCAGGTCAGCAATTTGCATGACTACTTTGTACTGAATCAAATGTTTCAAATGGTGGAGAATGTGTAACTCCAATGAAAATGTCTCGCTGGGATGAGCGCTGTTAGACGGAGCTGTACATCTGAGGTTTATGACATCTTTCATGCCTCAAGCAAACACTTGAAACTGTCACAGTGCCCTCTGTCACATACAGCTGAGCTCCAGTCATTCACACAGTTCTCCTAATGCACTGCCCACACTGTGACCCCTCAGTCTGTGCGCAAGCCCTGAGAAACTCTCATGAATCAAGCCCAGCGCTCAGCTCTGTATGGAAATGAGCTTATGCAAGTTTAATAATGCACTTTCAGAGGGTTTTAAATGTGACAAGTCTAGAAGCTAAATATTAAATAACGGAACCTCAGAGCCTGGCAGCAGCTGGGAAAACAAATTTCAGTTTGGCACAGGAGGACGGTATTTAAATTCAAGTCCTCTCTGCACAAGACAAAGAGAACAGACTGAGAGATAGGGGGCAACGGGGAGTCTAAAGGAATATTATCACCCTGCAGGGATAAGTGCTGTTTTTTTCCCCATATAATGAAGATGTGTTTCCACTATTTATTCTGTTTTCGCTTTGTAACCTTAAAGTATATTTAAATGTATTAGTTGTTTTTATGAAGGCATAGGGGGATCAGAGGGCTGACCGACAGTGCAAGCTGAAAGGTAATGAGACAGACATGTACTGTAGTTAAACCAGCACAGGGATAAGCAGCATAGATTTAGAAAAGGTAGGTCTTTGCTTAATTAACATTAGAGCTCTTTTAACATGGATCAGCAGTAATGGACACACATGGAGCATGTTATAGTATATTTGGGCTTTAGAGGGCTTTTGATACATTTTCTCATTAAAGATTTACTATCAAACTAGAGATCGTAAGCATTTGGGAGAATGTGTTTGGATCGAGAGTTGGTGAACTGGCGTGATGCAATAAGTGGAGTACCTCAGGGATCTATGTTAGGACCACAGCTCTTCCTGGTTTGTTTAAACAATCTAGAATCTAGTATACAGTAGTTAATGAGTTATGTTTTTTAGATGATACCAAAATAGGGGGATTAGAAGTTTCGAAAGAAATTCAAAAGGATTTAGATCAGATGGAAAACTGGGCAAACACCAGGCAGATGGGCAGATGATGTTTAAAATAAATGTTCAGAGTATTACATGCAGGTAGCAAACACATAACCTATAACTATAGAGTGGGCAGCACTGAGCTTGAACCAGATGGCTATGAAAAAGACTGAGATGTTTATATTGATACATTATGTATGTCTTTTATATACCCTAGGGAAACAATAAAAAAGGGAATCAGAATGTAAGGATATATAGCTGAAAGTGCAAAGTTTAAATCCAGAAGCATTATGTTAAAATTGTATGATCCACACGTAAGACCTCATTTTGAATATTTTGGTCTCATTGGCAAAATATTGGTCTCCATATGGCAAGACAGAAATTGCTATCCTAGAATCTGTCCAACAGAAAAGAGTACTCTGACAGATTAAAATAATTAAATTAATCACGTTTTGAATAGGGAACATTACGAGCAGACATAATTCAATCCTTTAAGTCCCCAAAGTCAACCTACTGAACTTTTTCATTAACAGCAGTAAAACACAAATCACAGGACATAAATGAAAACTAATGGGAAGCATGAACAGGAAGTGCTACCATTCCCAAAGGGTGATGGGTGTCAGGAACAAGCTGCGTACTCATGCTGTCGACAGTGATACCATCGCTTCTTTCAAGACGTGGCTGGATGAGTTTGTACCAGAAAACAAATGAGTAAGAGGGACCAAAATGCCTCTTTTCATGGTCTTATAATTGTATAGATCATTACAAATAATCTATACAAGGATGGACCGGTGGCACTGTGGCTAGAGGTCAATGCCTGTGGCTGGAAGGTTGCAGGCTCAAATCCCACAGCTGGCAGAGGAATCCTAATCTGTTGGGGCCCTGAGCGAGGCCCTTAACCCCAGCTGCTCCAGGGGCGCTGTATTAATGGCTGACCCTGTGCTCTGACCTAAAGCCTCTCTCCCTGTCTGTGTGTCTGTGTCTAATGGAGAGCAAGCTGGGGTATGCGAAAAGACAAATTCCTAATGCAAGCAAGTGTATATGGCTAATAAAGTGATCTTATCCTATCTTAAATAGTCACATATTCTGACCAATTCCACTGAACTAGAACAGCCAGAGCTTTATTTAAGTATGCAAATCGATTTTCAGCCCGTCGGAAAAGGAACAGTGTCAGTTGTGCTAAGATCTTGCAATACGGCAGATTAGAAAGACTGCTGTTCAAACACCTCGGCTCTGCAGTCTGGGACAGAAATCCAGGAAGGCAAGAAGCATTACCAGGTTCTGTCCACAGCCTGGAAAAGTACTCCTTGGCTGGGCATCTGCTCTCGGAGGTCGGGGGAGCTGAAGATGGGCTCCAGGTACAGCCAACCAGTCTGCACCTGCACCCAGCTGTCCAAAACATCCTGCAGCAGCCTCTGGGAGGACAGACAGGAGAGGCGGAGGAGAGGGAGGAAGGCAGAGGAAGATGGGGGACAGGGTTTGGAGAAGAGGGAGACAGAGGGGAGAGAGGCAGTGCAGGATGCACACAGAGGGCCAGAGATGTCCCAGAGAGAAAAGTGGAGGGGGAGAGTTATGCAAAATATTACAGGTCCAAGCCTAGCACTGTACCTGACTGTGAAGTTTGATCACAGATGGTTTCACCTTAAAAAAAAAGTTTAGAAAATATAGCCAGATCACATTTGGAGATAAAAACACTAGGCAGTTTTGCAGTGCTGAGAAAGGGCTTGAAATGCTTGGGGTTTTTATGCAACAAATCATGATGTAACACCTCCTCTTTATTTCACGCTACTCAGAAACACCTGCTGAGCAAAGCAAAGTGCATTTGCCTATTTGTGAACGATCCTTAAAGATCCGAGCTCCAGGCGGCGAGGAGCGGCACGAGACACGGGGGATTGGAGAACCCACACAAGAAAACTGAGCTGGAAGAGATGACGCTTTTAAAGATGGTGGCCCTCACAGCTGGACCGGGACCGGGGGGCGGGCAGTGCAGTGAGAGTCAGACAGGCGGACCCCAGGGAGACAGAGTGCGTACCAGCTGGCTCTCCCACTCCAGGAGCTGGCCGAGGAAGGGTCCGATGAAAGGGGAGCCCTTCATGGCACTGGTCTTCACTAGCTGGTCTTCCAGCAGGGTCTGGGCAGCAAGGAGAGGGACGGGTCAGACAGACATTCACACACACACACACAAGCCCAGGACAGAGGGCCAGGCGGGGAGAGAGACAGGGGGACAGAGACCCGCTGTGTGTACCTGCACGTCGTCCACTGCCGCCAGCACGCGCGTCCCGCTCTCTCGGTAGGGCACCAGCGTGAGGCGGACCGGCTGCCACTCCTGGGCCATGCCCCCCAGTGCTTCCTCCAGCGCCAGCTGACTCCCCGCCTGCGTGCCCACCTCGCTGAGGGCCTCCAGGTGGCGCTCCAGTCCCTGGCCCAGCAGCTCACCCAGCGGCACGCTTTCTCGGGGCGCCAGGGTCACCCCCACCTGCCCGGGGGCAAAGGCGGCATCAGTATTGCGCCTTAAGCTGTCGTGGCCTGTCACAGTACTGTCCCGGGCATCGCACTCAGGTATGCGGTATGCCAGAAGCTAGCATGTAATCAAAAAGTCTACATTTCATCCTAGTACACGATGGTGACTTTTATAGAAACAGCCCCAAGAATCCTCTGTCAAACGCAGAGCTGTCACTGAGTGACATGTTTCACCACTGGAATTGGCAGGGGTATCAAATTTTGATTCTGGCAAGAGCCGACCAAACAACTACCACATTCTAAGCAGGTTCTAGCTGGGACTGAGAAAATAAAGTACACTTTCTCTCTCTCTTGCTTTGTCTCTCCCCCTAAGCACACACACACAGACACACACTGCCTATATCAAGCTACCATCTCATTACACCTCACAGGCCACTGTCACTCTGCTCTTAAATGCCACCATTAAGAATGCGGCGAATTCTCTGACACTGAGGTCTCTGCGAATGTCATTCTGCAATTCCAATTCTAAATGTCAATTTGAGAATTCTAATAGTCTATTCTAATTTTAACAATGCATATTCTAATTCTAATAATAATCCATTCTACATGAGCGTCAGTGCCTGTCAGCAGGGGCAGCTCTGTTCAATGTGTGCCATTAACTGTCACTAAATCAAACTGCCTTTTGTATATTTCTTCTCTCAGGATGCTGTGCGACTGAATAATGCAGCATACATTTCAATCTAAAGGATGTGCAAAACCTCACGCTGAACAATACCAGATTATTATCCTTAAGAGACCAGGGCCATGTAGTGCTACAAAAAGCACTAGAAGAAAACTACAGACAAATACATCCCTAACAAAACCTATCGCTAATTTATTACCGTTTCTTTGTTAAATGCACTTGGCAATCATTTGACTAGTCAGTTTCACTTCCTCCTGGTGGCGTAGGGCTGTTCTAGTGCATTATACAATTTGAGAAACGGAGCTTCAACACCCTCTGACACACTGTAAAAGTCTTACAGAGCCAAAGACAGAAGAATTGGAATCCCCTGTTTTAAAACTGTGAATTCTCAAACAGATATCCGAGGCAAGACTTGCAGACCAGTGGAGATATTGAGACAAGTCTCTTGAAAATCTTGAATTTCTTGAAACTGGAGTCTTTCTATATCATGCTGTGTATACAGCATTCCAGAGTTGGTGTAATAATAATAATAATAATAATAATAATAATAATAATAATAATAATAATAATAATCTATTCCAGTTAGCACTTTTTAAAGTTGCATCTCAAAGCATGGTATAAAGAAACAGTTAAAGGGACAGCATGTACTAAAGCAAGTGGTTGGAAGTGCAGCAGAAGTTAGAAAAAGGAGCACACAGAGACACTAATTTACTAAAAGCCATTGTGAAAAGAGATGTCTTGAGTCCGGATTTAAATGAACTCATGGTGGGTGAGTCTCTGAAAACCATGCGGACAAAATTCCAGAGTCAGACGAATGAAGCATGCGAGGTGGGGAGTAGACAGGCAACAAGTCAGACGGGTACTGAGGTAGTTCAGGTGGGGAGCTGCGTCAGCATGCGTAGGCTGCAAAGGAACAAAGTAATCCGTTTATTCCAGGCTGAAAAGAGAAGAAAAGAAACACAACAAGAAGGCCCCACAGCCGAAACGTTGTGTTTCCTTTCTTCTCTTTTCAGCCCGGAATAAACCTGTTACAGGTACTGAGGTGCCAAGCCATGTGGAGCAGTTCAGGTGAGCACGAGGATTTTGAAGGGGACTTGAAACCTGAGAGGAAGCCAGTATAAGGATTCCAAGACAGGTGTACTGTAATCGCCTGCATGCGACAAGGTCAGGATTCTGCCTGCCAAAGTCAGAACATACCGGAGTTTTCTCAGCCTGGATTTAGTTACCCTAGTGAGCAGGTCATTGCAGTAATCAATTCTAGAAAAGACAGGTGCGCTGATCAGCTTTTCTAGGAAAAATGTCCCAAACCCACTCTCTACCCACTGTTTCTAAGAGGCATAACTGCAGCTCCAGCGTGTAATGGCTGAGAGGCTACGGCTGATGTTTGTGATGACAGAGAATCAACACTTCTTCGCTGATTCTACAATAATCCGTTACTCCAAAAATGAGAATTAGTTTGTTTAAAAATAAAAGAGCTGTAAAGAACAACTGTCACAGCAGCATCTTTGCTCTAAAACTTCACAGGGCTAATCCATGGGAGTCTATATTCTTAATAGGGGTTCTATTTAATTGCTAGGCTTTTCTTTGTAAAAAAAAAGGGAGTAAAATTAGCATTGTACTAAATGCTTTGTTAATATGGTCCTTAAGTCTTTTAAAAACGATTTTTTTGCTCCTAATGAAAGTGGGGTTTGCTAAGCAGAGTAATTAGAACAGAAGCGCCCGGTGTATTGATCGATATCCTGCGAAGAATTATTGCTGCTGCTGGCAGCCCTCCCAGTGACAGAGGCCCTGACTGCGCCCCCTCCCCCCCCCGATCTGATCACGTTGAGTTAACATTTCAAAGCTGCTAATTAAGGCATTGATTTCAGATCACAGCCGGAGAGGATCTGATTGAGTCTGGCAGCTCGCTTGCCTGCGCCTGCCACGCTAAGGCTTCTGGGCCGTTCATTAAGAACCCGTCATATTAAAAAATTATTTTCCGCAGACAGCTCTCTGCATGCTAATGGGCTTTTTATTACATTCCGAGAAGAAGAAGGGACTAAAGAGCGGGGCTTCAAAAAACGAAGGCTGCGAAAAAGCCATATCTTTTATTTCAAGTCCTGTCTCGAACACGGCAAGTTAATTGAAAGAGAATTTTGATGCTTTCTGAAGCTCAGCCCACGCTGGTGGAGGCTGAGCCCAGCTGGCGTCCCACCCCCTCCCCCACCGGCTGTGGGGAAGGTGGGGGGGGGCGACGGCCGATGGAATGGGGTCACCCCAGCTCCTCCGGGGGCAGCAGGACAGGTCTCGGGATTCCAATAGGAAACACTGTCACGACCACCAGGCAGTCAAGACCAGAGCGTAAGCGAGCTAATCAGACCCAGCAGCGGGTGATTATTAACAAACGCCGCCGCACGAGTTAAACCACCTGCGCACACTCATTGCGGTGCGCACTGCTATTTAAACCACCTTCACCTGCTTCCCACTGCTCGGTATTGAGTCTACTCCTTGAGACCTCTACCTGGCGGTTTTCCCCGTACCACGTTTATTCTGGTTTTTGGATTCCCCTTCTGCCTTTTCGACTTTGCACCTCGCCTCTCGACTCGGACTGTCTGTGACCGGTGAACTTCCTGGATTACGACTTGCCTTTCGCCTTTTGACTACGACCTTGCCTCTCGTTCTGGTTTGTTCGCCTGCCTCATCTATCACCCGTGCCTGCGTCTGCACAGGATCCGTGTATCTTCTCACCAGGGATTCCTAACAAACACATGCGCTCCACACAAGTCTGGAAGGGCTTCCTGCTCTTGATGACTCTGGAGTCACTCAAAGCCCACGTGGAGGATCGCCCAAGACCAGCCTCTGAACTGCTCGCGTCACAAAGCTTGATTCTCAGCTCTGGGTTGTAAAAGCGCACACAGGCGTCATTCAGGACTGCCTGCGACTTCTGGAAGCGTCAGGACTGGGCTGTGGCAGAGCGAGGCCTGTCTGTCTCTCTCTGGGGCTGAGCTCTTCTTCACAGAATCCGTGCTTGGCCGCGATGAGGGGAGGTAGCCCTGACGACCCTACGGATCAGCAATACATCTTTTCATATGGCCGAGCTCTGGCACAGCTCGGCCAGCGGAGGACTGAGGAGCTGAGTGCTCGTGTCCTGCTGTGGAGTCTTCTCTGGACGGTGGGGACTTGAAGAACACGGTGGACGCCTGCTTATTTAATTCGCCTTTGGGCTTCCGGCAAACTACTGTGCATCACATGAACCTACTCCACATATATATGTGGCCTCCTTGTCTTTTGTTAATGTCTAAAAAAAGAAGCAGATAACTGAGAGAAAAACAGCTCATATGACTAATAAATGTTAGCCATCTGGCAATCTAAAAATAATTAAATCCGTAGTGTGGGCACAGCTGTTCTAACTGTGCTATTAACACCTTTTAGTGAACTGAAAAAAATGTGCAATATTTTTTGATTAATTAATGGTCAGTAAACAAGACCAGATTGTAGGTGGAACTGAAATGATACATCAATATAAATAGCCCAGTCAGTAGGCCTATATACATTATCCAACTTTCTTTAAAACCGTATGGCGTTTTTTTGTAAAAAGTCTGTTTTTGTTCTCATCAGTTTGTCACTTTGTGTGTGTGTCGGCGTCTACACACGGCAGCACCGGGATGGAAAGCTGACAGATAAGGAGGCACAGATCCGCTGACCGGCCCCAGGCCAGGCAGTTCTGCTTCCCCTCTTCCCAGAGGTGTGGGCAGAGACAGGAGACACAAGTCAATTCACACTCCCCCCAGCTCCCCTGGACTGTCCATACTGGACAGCCTACAGAAAACCAGCAACTTCCTGAGGAGCTGAGGACTCCAAAGGTCGATGTAGGAATATCAGCAGATCTATTAAAGCTTTGATTCAGAGGACGGGAGCTCAGCTGCCCAGGACTCTGGAGAAGAACAAATGCTCACACGGTGTCTCAAAGCATAAACTGGGATAAAGCCAGAGTTCACCATCTCCAGCAACCTGCTGCACAGAGTGACATGTCGCGTAAATTGGGTTTCAAGGTCATCTTTAGGAGGAACTCCAAGTCTACTGACCATTCGGCATCCCTGGTTTGAAAACCTGACGCCCAGAAGGGAGGTTGGTCAGCCCCCCCCTGTTTTTCCCCTGAAGGCATATCTCTGTTTTCTCTGACTGTGGAATCTCTCTGAGCCACCTCACCCCTGAGGACAAAATCACTTTTCTAGTGAACTGAAGCCCTACTGTACCCTGCTCTTCAACAGTCTGCACCGACCTTCCCCTTTCCTTTCTGCTTTTTCTCAAACACATAGTCCACTGTTTCTGCTGCCAATCAGTTCACCTAATCT